TTTGTTATCAGTTGTTGGTCTACTCGGCTACATCCCTTCAAATTTTGAGAAAAGAAGGAAATTCAAAAGATGAGCAGAAATTCAACTACAACGGTAATTCCATCCGAACATGGAAAATCGAAGACCGACTTGTGCACTTGAAACAACTTGGCATATGCAAGGGAGCGCTTGTAACAAAGGAGACCGTGCTACTGAACAGCCTAGAAAGGCGAAACAGTAGCTGCTTAGTACTGCATAAGTGCCGTACCAGACCTCATGAAAGGTTCGAAACATGCTATCAGATTATCAGATTGTAATTGTTCTCGAGCGAGGTCCATAAAAGCAGTCGAATGAAGAGGTATAATTTCTGTTCTCTTATTTGATAGATGCTCGATGAGCTATTATTAGATTGATGCAGATGTCTGTGCACTTCATGCATTTCTAAAATTTTCCGAATGATATTGGAATATGTTAAGAACCGAAATTACCGCAAAACCTATAACTTTAAACCGTAAATACTTTTGCACCTACCTAACGTATGTCATCCTATGTTTTTGGTGCATCCGCAAATCATATGTGGGAAGAGAAGCAATTTTCCACAAAGCAAATTTAGACGTTCAGCAATGATATAGTCCTAGATATGGAGGAATTTTACAATGCAAACGTCAAAAGTGATGGGAAACAAGGAAATGTTTATCAAAAATGATTCTACATAGTGTCTCCTTTTCTGTTCATGAAGGGATATTTCTGCATCTCTTCTTTTACCACGCTCTCTTAGTTTTTCTCTCTTTTAGACAGCAAGATCCTTTGCTGAAAATGAGGAATAACGGAAAAATTTTCATTGAGACACCCTCATAAATGGCATTCGCTGCAACACTTGTATTGTATAAACTACCGGTTAATTACAAGAAGTCTGATATAAGACTTTTGTGCACAAAATTAGACCACCGAAGGACCCTGACTTAAATAGGTGTCATAATGGTCGTCACATCATTATGAAATTTATAAAAATTTCACTCAGTGTGAGAGCGTTAAGAGTCTCACGTGATTATACTCCATTTCTACGTGATGAAGACATCAATTTGGTTTAAATATTATGAAACCTTGCCAACCAATTATTTTACCAGTTCAAGGTTTCTTACTATAGGCTTTGTCCATGCGAGTCGATGTTGGTTCACAAAGTTCGCAGCGGAAAGTACAAGAATATCAAGTGCAACAGCCTCAACAAATCAGATATTGCATCCTAAGCGTCAATCATTTTCTCATAAAAGGACGGAGAGCAATTAAATTTTTAGAGCCTCCCTCCTTGCTACAATGCAGGGCTTAATGTGGCGTGTGGGTCACTGACGAGAAGGGCGAGACTTCTGAAACACCGGTGCATGACCCTGACGTACTAACCTCGGGTAAGGCTTAAAACATTATTGAAAATTACATTGAATGATTATTGCGAAGTTTTGAAAGACAGTCAATGTCTTGGACCAGAGAGCAACTAATTGCCTATATCTGGACAAATTAAATCTGTAGATTATTTGACGATCCAGTGACTTGAACAACTAGCAAAGATAATGCTTCAATAGCTACAAGTGAAGCGACCATCAAGCTGAATTGAGCAGGCTCTGCGGGAAGAAACGAGGAGTGAAAGATGATTATGTTTGGCTATGCTATAGAAATATTACAATAGTAAGTGGTACTAGTTCATGACGGCGGCGGTGTAACGTAGCATTCGATGTACAGATATGATTCCGCCGATTTCTTTCCTGTAATAATAGTGAAAGCAAAGATATGTAAGTTTGGAATTTGAAAATTTTTGTTTTAAAGTGCATCAAAAGTGTTATTTAATTATACTTTCATATTCGACTATTTTCAGACCCCCCAAAAATAATATAGTTTGACATTGTTCTTATCTCTGTCATATGTGAAGTGAATTTTCACTTTACGAGCGGCAGTGCAACATGTTCGTCAACGACTCTTCATGTGAAGGGATTTTCCTCCGAAAGGGATTGGATTAGACGATAGGCACCGAGCAACTGACAAGGCTGCAAGGGCGAAACACGTTTATTGTACTGTTATACTGCCTACAAAAGACCTTATGTAAGACTCAAAAATACATTGTCAGATTATATTTAATTTTGCTCTTATGCCTGATAATCATTTCTTGAGCCACGCATGTCAGTGGTCTGTCAAGGAGAGCTGACTGACGAGATTGCAAGATCGAAACACGTGTAATGGGCTCTATAAGTCAGCCCTCATTGACAGACCACTGGCATGCGTGGCTCAAGAAATGATTATCAGGCACATTGAATCTTGAAGCTGTGGTCTCAAGAAAACACTCGAACCGAAAGATATGATATTTAGCTTTTATTGCAAAATATTCTACATAATGGTTCCAATAGAACTTTGAAGATGACGACTTTTGTACCCGAAAAAAACTGTTTGCGAGAGATTTACTTTACGACTTATTAACCAGATGTAATTGAAATTGCTCGATTCTGGTATCGTTCAACTGCGCATCTCTTGCGAAGATTTTGGTATACAACGTGCATATACTTGCTCTAAGATGGAGTTGTCGTCAGAAGAAATTTATTTGCTCCTCATGCACGAATGCCCCGTAAGAAAGCGAGTTCTACCTTGAAGCAACTACAAGCTAAGTTGTATAACGATGGTTCACAAGTGCAATTGAGCGATACCGAGGTCATGCAATTTTATTGGAGAAATCATAATAAGAAACCAGAACGGCACGAATTTTGCAATTTCGCTATATGACAACGCTCGACTTTATGTTGATAATGCCGATCAAAAGCGTCATAGAAGAGCTGAGGTGGGAGATTTCAGGTTACACCTTACCCGCCTTACGCTGCCGCCATTGCACAGTCATATTACTACTTGAAATCACCAAAATCAATTTACAAATTAGCATCTATTCAAAAAAAATAGCGTTTTCCGGGTACAGAAGCCATCATCTTCAAAGTGTAAAACCATCGTGTAAAATTATACAAAATTTAGAATAAATGACATTTTTCACGTACTTCTAAACAAAAAAGAAGGACTTGCATGTCTTATTTTTTACTATTTATATAGCAAGAAAAGCGGTCCAATCATTTTATAGACTTGATAGTTGCAAATGAGGTGTATCATAAAGAAACGTGATATGCAAAGCACTAGTTTGACACCCTACCCCTAACATTTTCTGCTAACAATTGATTAATGTCACCCTAGCTTAAATTTTTTCAAGTTTGAAAGGCTAAGTTCAGCTTTTGAAAATATCTCATAGAGTCCTGGAGAAGCAAAAGCAAGATTACGTTTCGCACTTCTGAATTTGAACTTAGGCTTCAAGTGGGTTTATTTGGTAGTATAAAATGTAAATGGAAATATACACTATAGAACGATTCAATAAAGTCTCTTTTGAAAGATTCTAATAAGCAAAATTTAGGATTTCCCACAAAGAGGAGGAGCAAATTTTCAAAAAGATGTCAGAAATCGTATCCTTTGGAAGCGACTTTGAGGTCGCCAAGCGCAGCGCGATTCAGAAAGCACGATAATGTGCGCCAAGTGTGAAAACCAGTTTTATTCCCGCTGTTACAGGGCATCAAGAAAGCCTTTTCAGCAAACAAGTGCACTTTGGAGATCGTCGGAATTTAAACTATCGAATGACCACTGAAAGTCCAAAAAAGGCAAAAAGGTCTTGTTTTTGAAGAGTCGAAACATGGGCTACGATTAAGGAACTGTCCGAATCTCCTTTTTCTAATGATACAGAACCACTATTAATGAAAACGTTTTCAAAATGATTTTCTTTCTCTTTGTTATTGTTATGACTCAAAGCGTGTGGATAAGTGCAAGAATTCCTTCTGTGCATTCACTTCCACAAGCTCATCGATTGGTAGCTTAGCACGAGCATATCCATTACGAATCGTCATTTTGGCAAAGTTCTTTTTCACTGCTATGAACAACAATACAAACACCAATCACATAAAGTCACTAGAAATCACATCAAACGGAACTATCATTCAAGCCCTCCAATTGAGTTAGAGCCTACCATTGAAGAATCTTCGCACTGATATGACATAAATACGGAGCCTCTGTGGTGGAGTGATTAGCGATGCTCAGGGCGGTTCGACGCGGGATTGTTCCGTCGTCCCCAACACTCTCCGGTTATCATTAACGGACGCACCAAAAGCGCCTCAGCCTCACTATCCTCTAGATTGCAATGTGCCCAACTAGCATATCACAACGTTCATTATGATAACGAATCCTCACGCGAAGGAACAAATTGCATGCTGTGAGCACTACGATCAGAGTAGTGTAATAACTGCGCTTCGAACCAAATTGACAAGTTATATACATAATGATAATAAATCGGATATTTGATCTGACACTCACACTCTCCGAGACTGCTCTGTGATAGACAATTTCATATGCCTTGAACAAATCGTTTGAGGGGTGCGACTCTTGAAAAATGTTCTGATCCGCTTCTATTAATGCTGTCATAAGAAATGAGAAGATGGAAAGCAAGTCAATATCTAAGGAAGACAGCAAGGATATGGATTCTTGAGTAAACACAAGGCAAACTGATTTGCATAACAGAATTTTTTTAAATGGACAAAGCTATTTCGTAAACGTTTTTTGAACCTTTTGGTCTTTTGTTGACAAAAGCACAAACTCTACAGACTCGCAATGATTTTGAACAGCTACATCAACTCGATCAGAAGAACGGTCAGAAATTGGTTTAAAGAAAAATTGTTGACATTTATCTACAAACCTCTAGAAGACGATATTAATAGCTGAATTTGATCTGCTAGCAGTCTATTCACTGATCAATACCAGATAAAATGTTCAATCTTTCCGCGGCCATCTCTTTCCGACATAAATCTGTCAAATAGCATATAGATCGATACACAAAATTTTATTACACAAATCACGAGATTATATAATTAATAATTGAAATTTCTGTTGTTTTCATTGCCTTTTCCGCACTGTTATGTTGTTTCATATATCTCTACAAAATTGGGTGGGAGCAAAAATACGACCTCAAACGGGAGTCGAACCCGCATTTCATCTATACCGGGTAAGCGTGCTACCACTACATCATCGAGGCACATCTGCGCCACTACTTATTCTTCATTATAGTAAACACGCCTTGTAAGGCATATAGTGTAATTCGTTCTATTCACTTACACACAAAGAGAGTCTGACGCTATATCGTCCAAGTTGGCCACTCTCAAGTGAGTTTCGTACTTGGCAATCCTAACATATTCTCCATTAGAAAGAAAAATTCGGTACTAACAAAGCTGTCAGAAACATTTGAGAGAACATAGGTTTATATCCAAACGAGATTTCTAGTGTCTTTTTTTTTCTAATCACATAGCAATGAAAAAAGTTTACATTAGTGCTTCGCATATAGAGCAACAAAAAAACTCGGAATCACGAAGGTTGAAATCTGAAAAGAAGCAACTTGCTGTGGTATAGAGCTGCTTGGAATTAGTTCATCTGAGTATACTGCCAGAACTTCTTGGCTTTGTACTCTATGTTCATTTATTAGAATGCCTCATATGCTTCCTAGTTCTTAATGCAATAATTCATTAACACTCCATCAAACGAACATTAAGTCCTTGAATGGTAACGTCTCAGCAAATTGCGTTGGATTTCATGCTGTCATACAATGTACTTATAAATTTTCATTTGTACATTCACGTGAGGCCGCTATATTCGTGATCGCACATCGCGCACACACACTTTGCTTCGTAAGGAAAACTACTTATGCATTTGTAATCTAAAGAATATCGTTGACGTCTACTGCTTTCAAAAAATGAAACTATTTCCACATGTTGCCATCCACTCAACTTTGAATACTCGCTGGTGATGACATACTTCGATACCACCTTTGTCAAGAATTCAGTCCTAGAAAGACTTCTGAAAACGTCAATCTCTTCTCGATCATGTGCATTGAAACCATTTCGTGCACTTGTAACATTTGGGACGGTAAGCACTGATTTTAACGCGGGCAATTTTTTCTGGCCTATTTTGCAGCACAAGACTCCTTAACCAGATTTTACTTAGCAAACAGATAGAGTACCGAATACAAGTTCGATTCTGAAATCGGTCCATGAGAGGCCTTTTACAGTGAGCATTAATAACAAAAAGTCGCTTTCAGATGGTAGAGTGGAATCGGTGGGCAAGTGAATCATGAAAAAGGCAGGAAAATACACTTATATAACTATTACACTAAACATAACCATAACTGTACATTATTATGGAGAAATTTGATGAAATTGCGGCCAGATAATAGCAGATTTTTTTCACCACACGCAAGAGTTAGAAAGCAAAGAGCTGGTGCTCAAGAGTATGGGAACATATACAGAAGAACGAGCTTACACATAAAATTAAGAAGACGTGGCAATTATCTGAAAGCATTAAGTAAATGAACGGCAAAAATAAGAAAGAAAGCGCTCAGCGTTAATTAACCTCTGCGAAAAACGCCATGATGTGACCTCATTAAGGAGCGCTAAAGGTATTTCGGATACACATCTTTCCCTTGCAGTGATTCGCTGAGGTTTATTGATGTATTGAACTGTAGCTACTAAACTCCCATAAATGTCTGCTATTATTTTACCGACCTTGAGGGGATGGAAGGCTTCGTGATCCCCTTATGCCACAGCGAACTAGAAGTCAATTATGAGTTTCAGGGCACATCTCAATATTGCGAGACACGCGTCATGTGATTGAACTTGAATGAAATGGAACGATAATCTAAGGAAAGTGGTGTTCGCTCTTCTAGCTAGAATTTTGAAAGCGAAGACGATACTTTTTCGTAAACTACGCATAAATAACGAAAAGTACACCGCATATATGAAATTTAATGGGCATTTTGATTTCGCTCCAATGACGCGCAGACCAATGAGCGTGAAACGCGAAAATGGAATCGGTTGTGAAAGGGGTTAAAGCTCGTTAGTATTTACGGATTTCCGAGTTGCCTTTGATAATCAAACTGTACATAGTTTTCGAAAGCGTGCTCCATCAATTTTAACTACGACTGAATATCGAGCAATCTATCTCGGCGACGATATTGTGTCGTAGACTGAGTAAGTGCACAGTTCGAGTCAACGGTGTAAAATATGTTTCAGCGGGAAAAAAACTTGTGGCTCGGTTGAGAAAAGGGCATTATATGATATTACTTAGGCTTGGTTAGTATAGTGGCCAAGTATAGAACACATTCTTGAATTTATTCACTAAACTCTATCTTAAAACAAAATCCGTACCTGCGATCTCTCAAAAGTGTTGAAAATGTTCTTAAGGTAAGTCATATTTATTGTATTATTTGACAATTTGATTGGTAGTCTAAACAAAATCTTATAATCAAGGACTCAAGAATTCTGAAAAACTGAAATTGAGAAATTCTGAATAGCTGATCCTGGGTGCATGGAAATCGCGGGCCAGCTAGTTAGCCGCAAAATAACAATATCTAATTAAATTATTCGTAAATGTTGATGAAGATGCCGTGATGTACTAGCTGCTATCACAGAATCTGATGAAAAGCGCTGCAAAGTATGTTTGTGACCAAATAGGGAACTCTTTCAGGACTCTTCACAAAGTTTTCAACTCTAATAGCTAGCATTTAGCAGGTCAGATTTTCATATCTTAATTGAGCTGCTATATAACAAGTCGTTCACTAAATGTGAGGAAGTAGTTAGTGACAAACAATTTGGAAATCAGACTTGTAAACTGAACACAGTAAAAATTCTCTCTATTACTCATTGCTTCCATGCTGCTTATAGAACATTTCCTGGGACTAATTTTTAGTCCTACATCACTGAGATTCTAACTGTCGCGTGTTCTCGATAGCGTTCCCTATGAGCTGAAATATGCTGAAATATGCTTGCAGAAAGGAACAACTGCTTTCGTCAAACATATATTGGAAGTGCTAAAGATTGAATAAATTCAAAAATTATTACATTTGGAAGCAGCTTTTCCATCTTATGTAGAATGTTTTTCTAAAGCCACTAGAGTTGAATTCATTTAGGATGACAAGTCAGAGTTTCTTTTACAAGATTGCCAATTTTAGGACTTTGTCACCCTTGTAGTTAGTAATAATTGTCGAAACTTTTGAAAAATGGTCGCTAATTATCCGTTATGTAAAGCATTCGAAGTGAATTTTTTCTACCAGTAATTTACTGACTTGACATTTCAAAATGCTGCCATAAATCATGCTTATCGTATAGAATGCTCGCATGCAAGAAATACTGAAATACATTCGACAAAACAACAAAATTCTCTCATGTTTTGATAGTTGAGATTTCATGACTGTATAGTGTTCCAAACTCTATAAGTAGTCTTAAGGTCTCGAAAATAAGGTGTGCTGTCGAAAAAACCGCTTTGAAACTCTAAAATAACATTTTTTATCCATCTTGTGGAGGCATTTGACGGACCTGATTAGAATTGCCTCTATATTTATACGCTCGAAAGAAGGCGAAATCCATCTAAAGATTTTTTATAACGGCTTCGTGTTTGCTCAGCAAGCCAAGCGCTGAAAAAAGTCAGCATACGTCGTGGTTATATTGAGTAGCGATTCTCAATTTTTCGAGAACGGCGAAGCAACGATGTGCGTCAGTGTATTGATAAAGCAAGTCTCAGAGTCAACGAGTCCTCTTTGCCAATTCATAAATAGCTAGCATTATAAAATACATTCTATATTCCCTGGTTCATATCTGATTCCCCTTAGATGCCTGTAATAGTCATTTTTTGTAAAAAAGTATTTGTACAAGTCTTAAAAAAGCTGCTTTTTTACTTTTGATCATCCTGCCGCGTTTCTCTTGTTAATTTTCCCCGTTTCCTATGAATTCTAATAAACTTTGTTCACCTGGATATTGTAAAATTTATTAACCAAAGATTTTATCCTCGATTTTCCGATAGTACGGGAGAGCAACGGAGAAGAAATTCAAAGGCATGAGGCGCTTGGACCTCCTTCCCTCATCGATTCTCTTTAAGTAGATTACGCTATGCAGACACGCATTACTTTTGGCCCATACACATCGCACTTAGTCACACGTGCTCAAAGTCGAGTACCAACTTGTTTCTGCCGTGCAAAATTTACTAGCTTGATCATAAACTAAAATTATCCTGACGACTTGATCTTTATTTTATTTCTATCATGCTTCGTTGATATTGATATTTTCTGGAAGTACACTACAAACATCTTATGAAATGGTGATGTAGGCGATGTTGCAAACTTAACCCGTAAAAAATATTTATATTTGTAAAAACTTAACCCGTAAAAATATTTATATTTGTAAGAGACGGCGGTTCATGAACAGCGTAACTCTAAGCTTTTCATCAAATATTCTTATGAATAAAAAATCTATAAAATAAGCAATTTAACACATAATTTTTGAACAGACACTCAAACCTATATATTTTGTCGCGACATAACTAGCTACTTCTAACTTTAATCTAATATATATCAACTCAAAGCAGTCTCTGTTAAGTGAAGTAAATGCCAACGAGCTCTTCAGATCTCTGCCAACCTTTCCCTCTGCATGCGAAATTTCGAAAATGCGGATTTATTTGAGCAAAATTTTTTTTACTTTCTTGTGAAGCGTTGGGTTTGAACAATAAAGCAACTGAACAAGCAAAATCTTGTTTAGCAGGACATGATGGTGCTTTGCAGTTGACTTTTTTTTATTTGCACCTATCATCCATCTCTCACCTACTTACGTTTGCAGTCTTGAGAATTGAGATCGTTTTAATGTTCACTTGGAGAATCTAAGTTAAAAACTGTTATAAAGTTCAAAAAATTCTCAGTGAAAGTGCGATGAAATGTTATGTTGTATTTTTCTGAGCGAAAACCGATTTTCATTATCAAATGATTGGTAACGCGACAACGCAATTATAAACGATACAATTTATCAGAATGTTATTTTCTGGTTCGCACCTCCTCCTCAAATATTCTCTTGCAATCTACATGGGGTACCATAGTTCGACTATCTTCAAGACCGCAAGAAGAATCGATTTGACCGATATTCTACGATACTCATGAAGAAGACGTAATCTTCAAGTAGCCAGTCGACACAATGCGTGAAATATTCAAAAACTTTTGTGGAG